AGACAGGAGGAAAAGAGCTAATACTGGAATTGCAAAACAGAGTATAAGATTATAGTTATTGCTCTAACCCATTTATAAATAACCATGGGTGCAAATTAGGTTTCAGAGTCAATAAAAAATGATAAATGGAGGTATTGACCCTTTCTTCTAGCCACAGTTGTCCTCTCCCTGATAGAGCACTGAGTAAAAATTTAGTGAAATAACTACAGAAGTAGAGAACTCCAGCAGGCAAAAGACGTAGTCTGAGCAGAGAGGAAAAGCTCACTCCAGAACATGCCTGGTGTTCTACCTCCAGAGTGCTCACAAAATCACACATGACCAGAGGACTCCTGCAGTTGTCTGGGTTTTTTTTAACCAAATCTTCTACTAACACACCCTGCATAAAACACATGCCATTGGGCTTCAGGGAGAGATTATGTTGCGCAAAGGGCAGTAAAGTCAGGTCAAGGATACCTTTAATTCATATGGTACTCAGAAATAGCTTCATCATGAGTGAACATCTGGCCAAAAGTCCAAATTAAACTTTGTTAAAGAGACATGCAAATATAGGTTTGTAATGAAACAAAAAGAAAAATGTGGGTCATCAATCCTTTATGGGAGAAAGTGAAAGTTTTAATAGGGCTTGATCAATATTTACTGCCTTCAGTAGCACTTAACAGCTGCATAATAACAGCAGTGTAAAAAGGTCAAATAAGAGTAGGGCTATATAGTTGGAAAAACTGCAGGATCAGGACCTTGAGTTTAGGCAGCAAAATACAGCTCCAAAAAAATAATAATTCCACTAACAGTAGTCAAATTCCAGTCATTCCTGAAGAGAAGACAAAAAACACAGCTCTGTAAGAGCAACTGCTAAGAGATGCCTGCAAAGATATCTGATATTTGTCTTGAAGAACAAAATTTTTACACAGGAAGAAGAGTAACTGTTTCAATGAATACCCTCCCACACTTCTCAACGTCTTCTCTTCAAATATGTCAAAGCAATGCCTGGAATAGTTCTTCAGTAGAGAGGTTGGACTCTGAATCCTGTGAAGACTAACCTCATCAATTTTGTGACACAGTTTGCTGGGGTTTTCTTGTTGCTTTTTTAATCTTACTATATATTTTGGACCATGCTAAACGATTTCAGATACACTATGTCCCTGCAATATGTTTTAATATAAACAGAATCTCATAGAGACTGAACTTACTAAATGTGTAAATGGTAAACATGGGAAGAAACAATCTGCAATGGAAATTACATTTCTAAAGAGAAATCTTTCTTCAAAAACATAAAAAAAAATTTTGAGTTTATGAAGACACCATGAATAACTGGATAAAAGAAAAAAGATCTTCAAAAACCAAGTTTTTAGCCAGGCTTCAAAACTAACATTTAAAGGTGAAGATTTTGGAAAGAAGCAGGTTATGCATTAAAATTTCTTCAAATTGACTCTGTAAGACTACGTCTGAAATAATCTAAACAGTTTAACAGCAGTAATCCCACTAAAGACCATCCAAATGCCATGCAGGGATACTTATTAGGTTTGTCTAGGACTAACTAGATTTAACCATAAATCCGGAAGTGCTTCAGTATTCCCTTTCCACGTCAGGCAAATACTGACAACACTGGCAGATGAAACCACAGGATGCTCATCGTCAAATGAAGAAAGCAATTTCTAAACTGTCTCTTTTCCACTTACAAAAAAAAATGAGAGATACGGACACAGAAAATCATACATGAAGAATAAGTAAGAGATAAACTGTAGTCCTCTGAAGTCTAATAAAATGACCAAGATAGGAAATTTTACAAAACTTTTTTCCAGTTGAAGCAGAAACCCAGCTGGGTATATTATACGTGCAAGAAATAAGGGCATGAGCGAAATTTTGACAAGTGGGATGATGGAATAAGATTGGATTTCCACAAAGCATTTAGAACAGATGAGGTTTTGGATGAGCTTGCAGAACAGCCTGATCTTTAAAAGCCTTGTCAGAATGCCAAACTGGGATGATCACCCACTGAAAAACAACTTTCAAGGATATGGTACTAAAGACACTGAGAACAAAATCATTCCAAAAAAATTTTTACTAATGCAGCCAGAAAAAAGTTAATAATCCATGAGATAAATGTTTTTTTCTTTACTAGCTTGTTAAAAATGTTAAATTTTCCCCTTTAAAAAAAGTTACAGCTAGAGGCTGACAGAGATTAGCTTATTCTTCTTCAAAGTCATTAAAGAAATAATTAACCAACAATAGCTGGTAAGTTACCTTGACAACAAAGAATTATTAATATGAGGTTGTCCAAGGGAGAATGAGCCAGGGATTTCCGAACAGTGGTGTTAACCAAACTGCCTCAAAGCAATGCAAGGACTAGATGCTGGGAGGCAGTCACTGCCTCTGGTGGATTCATGCAGCCTGACACGGAGTTGGGAGCTACTGCAACCTCTGGCAACAGGGGTAATTTAGGGATGTACTTCTGTACAGCAAAAGGTCAAAACTATTTTTTAAGCAAGAAAAAAGAAACAGAAGATTGGAAATACCTGCAGGACCATTAATAACATGTCAGTCATACTTGGAAATTAATGAGCTGCATGCCCACAAGGTGTTACGTAAGATGTTTTGGCAAAGCCTATGAAAAAAATGCAGCTACAGAATGCTTCAGATGTAACCGTACATGCTAAAAGCATCCTATATTAAATCTGTAGAAACTTAAAGATAACACACGATATACCGGGGACAGCTAATTTGAGAGATCTCACATGTCCCCTTCACCTTTCATATTTCATGCCAGTGTGGCTGGACATGACAGTTATGGAATCAACTACCAAAAGGCGAACTTTATACCTCCACACTTCTTTATATCTTTTTCCTGTTTCTAAGTTAATAGAGAAGGAACTAATGGGCAAAGCATAGCATTACTTTTCCAGTCTCTTAACAGCAGTTTCTAAGGTGATATAGTATCTCTGGAAGACAGAAATGGAGAATGTTTTGCTTCTCAAAACCC